CACACACACACACACGTGCCTCCACACCAGCAATCAGAAAACAGCTGAAGCTGCCCCAGGGGGCGTATTAGCCACCAGGGGTGGGGCTGAATTATATATATGCAAATAAATTAAACCAGCCGTCCAACTGCAACTCATTTTTGTATCTTTGGCAGTTGTTCTGCCAAAAAAGGCCGGAATCGGGGCGCTGGAAGCTGTAAGGAAGCAAATTTGGGGAATTCGTTTTAGCAATCGAGTGGCCTTGATTCTGCCTTTGGGAGACGCAGTTCTTAACCCAAAGGCAAATCACAGCAGATTGACTGCCTCTTTCCTACCTTCTCAGCGAAAGGCCTGGTGGCTTCAGGGCCTAGGCTCTGGCCCTGTGTGGGACCTAGGTGTGTCCCTTTCTCTCTCTGAGTCCCCTTCCTCAAGTGTAGGCAAGAGCACTACCCACTTGGGTGGGAAAGTGGGAGGGCAGCACAGGGAATCAAAGACAAGGATGCTGAACACATAGTGCCCACTGTGCCCGAAGTAATTGTGACAGAGGATCATTAATCAGTCAGAGCCACACTGCAGTCTCCAAAAGGCGGGGTCGATTAGAGTGAGCCAAGCGCTCCCTGCAAGTGCTCTCAGCGGGGCTAGCCTTTCCCCTGGGGCCAGTCCACAAAACCCACCAGAATACATTCTCATAGTGTTTCCCCAGCCGAAGGCCCGCTTCTCCTAACATCTGCCTTCCAGCCTGGAGACAGCAAGAGCAGAGGATGCTGGGCATAATTTGGAAATGCAAGTGATAGCCCCTGGCTTCCTGCATCTTACTGTCCCCTATCCCCAGGCCTGGTCACTGAAGGGCTTGGCGCCCAGCAGTCCATCTCAGTGACCTCCAGACCGGAGACCCCAGGTGACCAGTTCCCTCTGGCCTTGACCCTTGCAAGTTCAGATTCCCCCCTGTCCGCTTCTGTTCCACACCTGAATGCAGCCACAGGGTTCCCCGGTTTCCACTCTTGGTGCCTTTCCCCAATCTTTCCCTGCCAATGTGGAGGGGGTTCTCATTCACTCCAAGCCCATCAGAGACCCTCCTGTGTCCTCAGAATAAGGTCAAAGAGGTCGTTTGTGGCAGACACAGCCTTCGTGAACACAGTTCTCAAGGGCCCGGACCTGGGACTCAGGCACACCTGCCTGTGACCCTTTCCAATTCGATACCAAGTCATAATGACCCTACAGGACAGGGTAGAACTGCCCCCTGTGAGTTTCCCAAACTATAACTCTTTGTGGGAGTAGAAAGCTGTGTCTTTCTCCCAAGGGGTGGGGAGTGGCTTTGACCTGTCAATCTTGCCCATCACAGCCCATTGAGTAACCCCTGCACCCACCAGGGTGTCTGCCTGTGACCCTTGGGTCACACACAAAGGGTGATAACGCCTGTTCTGGGGAGACTGGCAGGGCAATGGTTCAGCGCCTGGCTGTTAATGGAAAGGTCAGTGGGTTGAACCCCAATGGCTGCATGGAGAAAAACCCTGGTTATCTGCTCACATCAAGATGTATGGCCTAGAGGTACAGCCCTATGAGGCAGTTGTACTGTCACATGGGGCCACTATGAGTTGGAATGACCAGATGCCACCAGCAACAGTAACATAAAAGCCCATTAGGAGCTCTCCGGACCACCTGAGTGCAGGGCTCCTCGTGAGAGCAGGAAATGCCACAGGCTATGTATCAAAGGAAGTGGGGGGGAGGTAGGGAGAGGGAATGATTGCCAGGATGGGAAAGATAAAAGGCCAGTTTGGGACCTCCTGAGTGTGGGGGCCTATGTGTGTCCCAGGGAGGCGTCCAGGGGCAGTTGGACATGTGGGCCTGGAGTCTGCACCAAGGTCTTGGCTGGAAACCAGGTATGGGAGTCACCCCATGAAGTAGGAAGATGAGCTCATGGTGGGGAGGGAATGGGGCCGAGGGGGAGGGGCTCATGGTACGAAGGTCACCCACACACATGGAACCAAATCAAACCAAACTCACTGTCATGGAGTCGGTTGGACAGGGCAGAATGGTCCCTGCGGGTTTCTGAGACCGTAACGTTTCACGGGAGTAGAAAGCTTCATCTTTCTCCGGTGGAGTGTCTGGTGGTTTCGAACTGCTGACCTTGCTGTTAGCAATCCAATGCTACTACTATGCCACCAGCAGTGGGCGGCTTCACGGGTGACAAAGTGGGGAGGGCTCTGGGGCAGCAAAGAGTGGCTAGCAGGACAGAAGCTTAGAGGAGTTCGCCCCCCACTCCCCATTAGCTGATGGCAGAAACAGGTCCATGGGATTTGGATACTGAGGCATCCTCTGGAGCTGAGTTCCAGGGGAGAGGCAGAAGCACTCTGTACATGTCTTTGAGGAGGGGCAGGGAGAGGCAGACCCCTGGCAGATGCCTGCATGGAAAGGTGGAGGGGGCTTCAGGTGAGCAGGAGGCACTTGCTGCTCCTTGCTAGGTGTGGTAAGGGGACAGAGCCCTGGAGGCTCTTGGCACAATGCCCCCGCCCACCACACTCTGCACTGCTGTTTCCCTCAGTCCCAAACCCAGCAGTAAGTCACCTGGCCTGGGTCCCCCTGCAGAGCCGCGCCCTCCCCAAACGGCCAGCAGATGGTACCAGTGAGCTGCCGGACTCAGCTGGAGCAGCCCAGAGCCAGCCTGCAAGTCCCCCACGCAGCACAGGCAGGCACATGGTGGGCTGGGGCACTCATGCTAACACTGTGGTGTCAGGTTGCTGACGCAGGGGTGGCAGGTGGAGAACTAAGGGGGACTGGTGGCCGATTGCTTGTGGGCAGAGGTGACTGAGGGGCCCTGTTCTTCTGGCTGCCCCTGCCAGGTCCTGCCTTTATCTGCAGAGGCACCTGCCCTTTCCCTCCACCCTTCTCTCCCCTGGAGGCCCCCTGCCAGTCCAGACTCCTGGTTCTGGCAGACGCTGGTTCTCTGCCCTCAAGCAGGCGCTACCTGGCACCGGTCCTCAGACAGGGCTGGGCCGGCCCCTCCTGGCTGCGCCTGCCAGAAACAACTCCTACTTCCAGAGCCACCTTCTGCTTCCACAGTGTCTCCACCGGAGGTAGACTCAGGAGTCATCAGTCCCAGGAGGCCGGAGGGGCTGGAGCAGATATTCTGGGAAGGAGTCTTGGGTCAGAAGACCCAGGTATAGCATGAGTGGGAGCGGTGGGAGTGGTGGTGTGTGTGTTTACATTAAAATATGGCAGCTTGTCCTGTCCCACCAAGACTCAAATCCTACAGGACTAATGCCCAAGAGGGTCAGCATCCCAGTCCCTCCTGGAAAGCCCTCCCCCTAATCACCATATGCTTCAAGGCCAAAAGCAGATGTCCCTCCCTGTAGTTCCTTCACGAGATAGTGAGATAGTCCCTGACTCTCTCTTTCTCTGCCTTCACCT